ACTAGAAAATCACGCATTTTTCCAAACAATTGCCAGTGACACTTTTTCACTTAAAACCTTTAATAATTCCAAAAATCCTTAGCTACCTGCAAAGGATTCTGTGTAAATCAATTGAGGGCTTCATATGATGAACCGTTAGGAGATAAGGGAAACTTTCGGTCTGATTAGAAGAAAAACCTAGAATGATAAAAATAAATAAATTAAATCTAGGACAGATTTTTACAAGCAATTGCAAATGTTAGTTCAAGTACCTACAGGTTTCAACACGTCCAAGAAGACAAAACCGAACAAGGCAATCGCAGCGTTGTAGGTATTTAAGGAATGGTTTATTGTAAAAATGCAGCATTAAAGGAAAAAAAAACAGGAGAAGAGTGGTTTTCGTGTATGCTAATAACATTAAGTACTGAACTGGCAAAGCACTTAGGACAAATTCCAGCTCGGTTCAAAGCAACCGGCACTTTCCTAAAACACATACGCTTTCCTAAAACCGCATCGGAAAGTTTCCCGGATTGCCTGGAAGTCCTTAATTTAAAATGCGAAAGTGATGAGCTAATGGCACCGGATTTGACGTCGACCTCGAAAGAGGGTGAGGCGTTGCGACGCCGGTCGTCGGTTCACACATCACTCCCGGAACGGATCAGACACTAATCTTCTTACAACGACAAAAACAATCACACCCCACTTTGTCCTAATCCATTGGTTTTCGGATAATGCCCAAATGCGATTTACTTATCTCCAGGCCGACAGGGTTCGCGAAAAGTGCCATCTTATTCAATCGTATTCCATTGGAGGATTCTTCCATCATTTTATGGACGACTTTGTTGCATCGCTCACGACATTCGACAGAATAGCCGGGCTCTATTGTGAGAACTTTTACGTCGCTATCGCCCTCCTGGTAATGAGGACGTTAATTGGGATAAAGCCAGCGTGGTTAGTTAACGCCAAGATGAGAGAGTTGCCTCCGGTTATTGTCCCGAATATTCCGTAATTACGCAAAGTTATGACCCGTTACATTGTTCGGCAAGATGATAATTGCCAACTTTATCTGTTTCGGGTCTTTAGCCCGCCTAACTGCCAACTTCCAACTTAAACTTACATTGTTTGTTCACATCTATACAGAGCTGTTTACGAATTAGCCGCACTTTCTTGGGAAGATTTCTTGCCATAGTTCATACTATAGTGAAACTGATAACTTTTTCGGTCATTTGCAAAATCCTGGGCGCAACGGAAATAATTTCAATGGATGGCCACCATTGATCGCATAAAAAAATCACGTCAAAATTGCCCTCGTTGGCCATAATCTTCCACTACGTCTTGGTTGCCCACGCTGTATATTCCCTTGTTTTGCTTGGTTTTGTAGCAAATTAGTCAAAAAAAACACTGTCCTATTTCAATCACGTTTCATGTGTTTCTTCCGGAAGATTTTGCTCAACAAAGTCCCACTTTCGACTGCAAAACTCATGTTCTGGATGAACCAATTGGGCGGCATTTGACTGGTCGAGCTACACGGCCAATACGTTAAGCAGGTGAATTTGATTGGAAATTTATTATTTATTGAACATGGAATTCAGAGAACACCACATAAAACGATTCAAAACCATCGATTGGAAAAGGAGGAGTCTTGATCGGGCCTCCACGATCACCTGATGTAAACAACCTAGATTTTTTGGGCTGTCGATCGCCCTTCGCCGTAGGAAACGGCCAAAAATAGGTGTTTTATCGCATTTGCACACCATACACCTACCCTAGGCGGAAACTAAGTGAACATCCAATCAAAAGGCTGTTACTCTCGGTTTTTTCTCACAAATAATGCTTATTTTCGCTGCACAATTTCTGCTGATTTTTAGGAGGGAGGTGGATGAGGAACGACTAAATCTGAATGGAAATGGAACTGCAATGAGCAGCAAAACATACAGTTTTTATGCATAGAAAACCGT